ATTAGGATTATGGTTCCAAATGTGAACTTTAGGGAACACAAATACTAAATTTGTAACACACTTCCAGTAGAATTTACTTTAGGGCCGATCTCACTTACCCCAGAGATTTTTATTTTTGTAGTAAGTAATTTTGGGAAGGGCATGGTAGACTCGAGCGTTGCGGCTGTAGGGTCCCGTGACTGATGAAATTCGGGGACAGTGACCTCTGGAGGTAATACCATAAACACAGGATTGTGCGCAGTTTTTGACTCCATGATGGTGTTGTTGATATTTTGAAGTGTTAAGTGATTTAGTTGGTGTTTCAGTCTAGACCATGCTCTTCTCCTGTCCCAAGGTTGTCTGGAGTGATGGCATTGTTGTACTTTGTCTTGGAATTATAGAACCACAGAATCACAGAGTCATGGAATCTCAGGATTGGTCACGATCTTAAGGTGAGTGAGTCAAAAGCCCAGGAGTGGGGAGAAGACCTGCCTGGTAGTCCTTGTACAGTCAGGCTGTCTCTGTGACCATGGGAAGTCACATCCCCCCTCTTGATTTCAGCTCCCTTATATGTACACTGACCAGGTGGGACTAGTTGATCTATAAAGTCATTTCAATTCCCAAGTAGAAGAGCACTGTGAATGTTATTTTAGTTCTCTATCTTAAGAAAGATAAAGGATAAAACCCCTCAGTTATAGTCTCTGTTTAGCCTGTCACTTTGGCAGGGTTTTTTGGTTGGTTGGTTGTTCATTTTGCCATTGAATTTATTAGCTTTAGCCAGGAAAAAATGACCCCAAATCTTAGTGGCTTCAAACAACCACTATTTGATTTTGCTCACAATTCTGTGGATCATAAGGGTGTTTCTACTGTTCTTGTCCACCCTGGCTCTATGCTTCCAAGTTTTCTCATGCATCTGTGGTCAACTGGTGAAGTGACCAGAGCTAGATGGTTTAGTATGGTCTCCCATCAGAGGCACTGATATCATCTGATGCTTGAGTCCCTTATATAAAATGGCATAAACCAATGCGTACATTCCTCCTCCACATCCACAGACTCCCAATCTGAGTGGAAAAGACTGTTTTTGGTCTGTGGTTAGTGGAATCCACAGATATGGAACCTGGGGATACAGAGGGCTGATTAGATATTGAAAATAAATCTATGGATAAGTGAACCTATGCAGTTTAAACCTGTGCTGTTCAAAAATAAATTGTACTTTGGTTTCATGAGTGACAAGGCAAGTTAATATATTAAATGAAAAAGTAATACATCAAAATACATTGGATCATTTTTTCTGCTACCTTTACCACTAATCACAGGTGTGATAGGAAGAATTGCAGCTTCCCAAGAAAATTCCATTCCTTTAGTCCCAGGACTGTGGAAATGATATCATGCCCATTAATATGTTACCTTAAATGACAGAAGGAGCTTTGCAAATAAAGTTAGTAAATTTACTTCAAAATAGGGAGATTATCCTGGATTATTAAGGGGTCCTCGTGTAATCACAGGACCCCTTAAAAGTGGGAGTTTGAGGAGGACTTGACAAACCATCGCTGGGTTGAAGATAGAGGGGACCACGTGAGAAGAAATGCAGGTGACTTCTAGGAGCAGAGAGTGTCACCTCCCCGCCCCCGACATAGCTTACAGGGAAACCTATAAAGCAAGGAACTGGATTCTTCTAACAATGAGTGAGCCTAAAAGAGGGTCCCAGGCCTCAGAACCACACACCTGGCCAGTATTATGACTGTAGCTAAGTGAGATAGCAAATAATCTAACCAAGTTATCTACTACTTCTTACCTACAGAAACTGAGATAATAAATTTGTGCTCCATTAAGCAGCTCCATTTGTGATAGTTTGTTAAAGGGCTAAGAGTCTACCATTTTGAGCCTTAGTGACTATTATGCAGAATAGGGTAACTTCTGTGACAAATAATTCCATGCTTGGCTTGGCCTAGTGCCGTATAAGATTTCTCCCTTAGGTCACAATCCAACTAAATGTTCAGCACTGGATTTAATCTATGTAGTTATTTATGGGCCAGGTTTAATTCTCTACAGATCTGAGCATTGCAGGTCCTGGATACACTGCATCTGGCTAGTGCATGAGGAAAGAGAGACTATGAGAACAAGGCAAGGGATTGAGGGCTCAAACCTAAAAGTGGTGATCATCACTTCACCAACACTTCACTGGTGATGGTCACCTTCTCACCTATTTAGATGCAAGGGGGCTGGAAGGTGTAATCTCGCTATGGGATGTGTAATCCAGCAAATGACAGTGAATAACTGGCTCATTTTTCCCACAGGGCCTTGGGAATTGTAGGCATAAGGTAGTAGCATCAGAAAATAACTCTTCCCAATTTTTATCAAAGAAAGACCCTAGTAGATTCTGGAAAAGATATGTTGTGTTTGGAATAAAATAGTTTTTACAAATTATATTGCCTTTAAGTAAATCATAAATGCTCTGGTCCCCCAGAGCATTTTGTCCCTGGCCTTATAAACTGCTACATCACATATTTATACTCCATTATTGGCTCCTAAACACATCTGATTTTGTCAACTCCAAACCCAAACTCATTGATGGGACAGTATTAGGTGTCTCCAAGACGGGGAGAATGCCTGGAAATCAGGGATAGAAATGGAGGGTTCTTGCACATTGGAAAGGTGCCTAAGGGTCTGAGGGGCACAAGGGGCTTCTGCCTTGCTCTTTAGTGTCATTCCCCCTGGGATGGTAAAATCTCAGATATGATGGGTTTTAAAAACATTTTTACACTTTCACACTGTGAGTTTATACCCTAGGACATAGTGGGCAAACACAAGGCCCTCCAGCCAAATCCAGCCCTCCTCCTTATTTTACCCAGCCTGGCACCTTGTTTCTACCAGCAGCAACGCCAAGCTCTCACTTAACTGTTGAGTAGTTACATTGATACAGTCCTAAAATTACATTTGGCCCTTTGAAGGCAACCGCATGGCTGATATGGCCCCCAGTGAAAGTGAGTTTTACACCCCTGCCCTAGGAGGCACTGTATTCTTACAATTACAGGGGGAAGAAAAACCTGTGTTCCAAGTGTGGTACAGAAGCATCAAGTTTATAGGACACATAGGGTCAATGTGAACCGAGACAATGAGTCTCTTAGTGGTAAGTGGTGTGGACTTGTCAGTGATGACAGTAATCATCTCTCCGATGACTTGGCACTGTTTAAGACCCCAGAACCCTTGTGCATGAGTGCATCACCGTATCTGAGCGTGTTGGATGGGTACGGGGCTGAATGGGTAGGAAAGACTATATGGGCTGGATTCTCAAAAAATTTGATTAAGAGTTGGAAATATGTGGTTCTGGAACACCTGAGTTTGTGGACTGAAAGTTAAAGCCTTTACACAAGCACCTTACAAACATGCGCAAATCCAGTAAAAGCAAAAGGGGAAATGATTAGTAGTATTCAGAATAAATGGAATATGAAATAATAATCATTTAGGAACTGGAGGCAAACTCACGTAGGGCCTGTACCAAGGTCAAACAACCTTGGGTAGCTCCTGAGGCTAATCCTTACTACAGAGGCAAAGACAGGGAACATATGATCAGTCTCTCTAGCTCTATGCCTCATTATTCTACTACACATAACTTCACTCATCTCTAGGTGTTCAGGCTCTCATTCATGCTTTTAAAAATGATTGAATGCCTGCTGGAAGAAAGCCTTTGTACAAAATTCTCTTGAAGGCAGATATGACACAGTTTGGGCCTATTCCCAAGAATGTAAGACACCTACAAGACAAATACCACAGGATCTCACCTATAAGTGGAACCTAATCAACAAAACAAACAAGTGAGCAAAATAGAACCAGAGACGTTGAAATTAAGAACAAACTCAATGTAACCAGAGGGAAGGTAGGAGGAGATAATGGGGGGAAAGAGGGAAGGGTTTTCAGAAACAACTAAAAGGACACATGGGCAAAACTAAGGAGGGGTGGGATCAGGGAAGGGAAGTGGGGATGGCTGGGATGGGAGGAATGGGGGCAGGTGGAAATGGAGACAATTGTACTTTAACAACAGTGAAAAAAAATTGAAAAGAAAACAAGGCATGTGCCTGATTTCAAAGAAGAAAGAAGTCAGTGAGAGGTCCTCTGAAAATACTTATTTGAGACTTTTTGAAACAATATGAAAACACAGAAGACAACAGGGGTGATGGAGACTGCAGAAAGAAGATGGTTAACAACCCCAACTGTATCAAAGGGATCAGTACAGATGCATACAAGATGGCTTTTGTTCACACAATTTCCTCTGACCACTGAGGATGAAATTATATGTCGTGAATGTTGAGAAATTCAAAACAGTGAGTGCAGGCAGGTGGAAGGGAGCCAGAGCATCACTCAATAGATGAGTCTTTCATACTTTCTTTGATGACATATGCATTCTCTAACCTCCTCTGGGTCCTACTTCTTTTTCTCTCCCTATGCCACATTCTGTCCTCATTGCCACATGACCCCATTAATAACTAAACAAACATAGAGTATATACTCTCAACACAGATTTGGGGGTGGGGGATTAAATTGGGTGATTGGAAACAGAAAAATGGAGGAATGGAGGAATTTATTTTTATCCTTTGTTGACTCTTTTGGTTCTTGAGACTTTAAAGAGCCAACATAGGCTTCTTCCTTGTTGATGTACTAAGCCCATGTAATACACATGGAATGAGGCAAGAAACGTCAGCACCATAGAAAAGCACATCTGATAAGTATTAGGTCGTAAAAATAATTGCTGATCATAAATTGAGACACTAACATGATGACAAAGAGTTTAAGTGTGAATTACTCCTTTACCCTCACAAAGTTCTGAAACGGTATTAATATTTGTTGTCATTTTATTTTACTTAAGGACAAATCCTTTGAGTTTTATGGTTGCCCTTCATTTTCTGGTGAGAGAATAAGGTGGCAACAGTACCTGAGAGTATAGGTTGGAGGTGACTATATTGTTTTTCCCTAATTTGGTTCCATAATTGGGAGCAGTGTGGTATTTGGGTAGATCCTGCAAGTTAGTCAGAGTCTTCAGATTGCTGTTGATCCCTTGCATAACATGAGATTAAAGTTGAGCTAATTGAAGCGTTTTGTTGCACATCTTGCATATCTTGTTCTGAACCTACATTGGATGAATAGGTGGAAGACGCATCTTGTACTGAGCTTTGGCAGGAGGCATGATGAAAATCTGGCTTTGTGTCTTCTGATTGTATCTCACTTGACTTTTGGCATAGACTTTTCATGTCCACTAGTTTGAGGTCTTTTGTTTGTATAGGGACTAGTTGCATATCTTCTTTTGGGATACCAGTGGACTGAAGATCTTGTTGGTTCTTACCTTGATACTGACTGTCTGGAACTATGTCATCTTGTGATTGCTGTTGAGGTACAGCATGCAGAGTGTGGGTTTCTTTGTATAGAACTTTCTGCTTTAGGAATTCTTTCTCTAATAGATCTTGGGTTTGCCAGGCTTGGGACTCCCAATTTAGGGAATGCTTCATTTCAAATTGGCATTCTTGTGCTTTACACTCTCTGTTTCTCCATTCTTGCATACTCCACTCTTGGGATTGTTGGCCTAAAGATTGCCAGTCTTGGTACTTCAGGATTTGGGATTGTTGATGTTGGTCTAGCTGTTCTAGGGATTTCTCCTCTTGGGCCTGCAGGTCTTTAGCTTCTTTATGTTGGCTTTGTTTCCCGAGGGATTTCTCCTCTCTGTCCTGCTGGTCTTCACCTTGTTCATTTTGGGATTGTTGTTTTAGAGATTGCTTTCCTTGGGATAACTGGTCTTCAGCTTGCTGATCTGAGAATTGTTTACCTTGGACTTGTTTATCTATAGAGTGCCTCTTTGGGGATAGCCAGCCTTTGATATGTTGGTCTAGGGATTTCTTCCTTGGGGGTTGTGGGGCTTGGATTGGCAAGTCTAGGAATTTATTTGTTGGAGATTGCCAGCCTTTACTATGCTGGTCAAAGGAATGCTTCCTGATGGATTTCCTGCTTTGGTGTTTCTCATATTTCCATTCTTGGGTCAGCAAATTTACTTCTGATTGAATGTCCTGATATGACGTATGTGTAAATTGCTGGTCTAGATGTTGGATGTTTTGTAGATGAAGGCCCAAGAATTTCTGTTCTAGCTGTTGTACACTAAGATCCTGCACAGCATGAAATGTTTGGGTTTCAAGTTGCATGGCTTTTATTGGCAGATCCTGTACTTGGGAAAGCATATCTTGGGAAGGCATGTCTTGTGCTGGCATGTCTTTGGGTATCAGGTCATGAGACTGTGTGACATGGTGTGTGGGGGCTTCATATAACAGGGTTTGTGCTGACAGAGCTTGAGATGGCAAGTGATTGGGTGGTAATGCTTCAAGACTTTTTACAGAATGGGATGGAAAAACTTGGAGTGGCAAGGCTTCAGCCTGCAGCATTTGGGTTTGCCTTTCAGAGGGATATTCAACAGCAAATTGTAGATCTTCATCATTTATTCGATCACTGTGTGCGTCATCTTCTGAGGGCCTTTTCTCTGACTTGGGAGGCAAAGGTTTCTGCTCAGTTTCTTCCTCATAATAGCTAAAAGGGGAAGGGATATTTTTCTGTTGTTCATCTGACCCAGATGAAGAAGATTTGTAGTAATTGTTACTGCCTTTTCTCTCTGAATGATGGAAGGTTAAAGGATTTCTTGAGACTCTTAACTTGAAGAAAGTATAGCCTCCAAAGAAAACAGGTTGTATGTTTGTTGGTGAGTCACCTCTGTTTGGCTCTTCTTGAAGGTCCATTTGTATTATAGCATTTTCATCAGGGATAGATAATTCACTCTCGTGAGTAACATCCAAAGGCAAGAGAAACACAATCTATAAAACCAAGGAGTAGGAGAAAAATTAGTATAACAGTCATTTTTTATGTTCTTTTCTTCTTGTATTCCCAAATTCTTTTTATCTCTGCCTTAAGACGGTAGATAGAAAATAACAACTACATGAGGAATAAGAAAACAAGTATCAGTACTGCCCTTACCATCAACTCACCAGTTTTATTTTGGACAAGTCATCACCCTCTATTATCTCAAATATTGAATAGGGGAATTTGATTAAGATAGTCTGAAAGTCTTTCTATACTTAACATTATAAAACTTCTAGGACACTTTAAATTATCCAGTCAGTATTCATATATTCAGCTTTATTTATTTATCAATTACCTACTAAATGAGCTAAATGCTGGAGATCAAAAATAATTAGATGTGGGTTTTGCCCATAAGGTGCTCATTACAAAACTAGATAACAATATAGTTTAGCAAAAGTTATTGTGTAAATAGCTAATAAATGCTTTATGCTAAATGCTAAATGCTTGCCTCAAAAGAAACTTTACAGGCAAGAAGGGGCTGGAAAGAAGTATTTGAAGTCATGAAAAGCAAGGAACTACATCCAAGATTACTCTAGCCAACGAAGTTTTTTATTTAGAATGGAAGGGTAGGTAAAGTGCTTTCCAGATAAGGTCAAGTTAAAGAAATTAATTATCACCAAGCCCTTATTATATGAAATGTTAAAGGGACTTATCTAAGAAAAAGAAGATGATCAAAAATATGAACAGTAAAATGACAACAACCTCACAAATATCAACAAATGAACCTAAAAGAAAATAAAAACAATGGAAACAAAAACTAAGCAAACAACTAGAATAGAAACAGAACCAGAGAAATGGACATCACACAGAGGGAGTTTAGTGGGGAGGGGGAAGGGAGGAATAGGAGGAAAAGGTACAGGGAAGAAGAAGCATAATTAGTAGACATAAAATAGATGGGGAGAAATAAAAATGGTATGGGAAACAGAGGAGTCAAAGAACTTATATGTACAACCCATGGACATGAACTAAGGGTGGAGGGAATGCTGGAGGGTTGGGGTGGGGTGGAGTGGAGTGGGGATAAAGGGGAAAAAATTGGGAAAACTGTAATAGCATAATCAATAAAAATATTTCAAAAAAAGAATGCAAAATGGTACAGTCACTTTGAAGAACTGTGTAACATTTTTCCATGGATGTATACCCATGTTGTATATGTGTCTCCAGAATAATACAAAGATTCAGTTGTCCAAGAAAATAACATTTTCTTATAAAGTTAAACATCCACTTGCCATATTACCTAGCAATCAAATCCTAGACACAACACACCAAGAGACATGAAAACATCTGCCCACACAAGGAAGGGAACACAAATGCCCATTAAAAAGTAAATGGATAAACAAATTGTGGTGTTTCTTTACATAAAAGGAACAAACTATTGATACATGCAATAGTATGGATGAATCTCATAATATGTTGCTAAACAAAAGAAGCCAAATACAGAGAGTACTTACATAAAATCCCATGTATATGAAGTTTGAGAAAGTAACAACTGAAAGAAGTAATAAAGATAATTTGACCATAAGACATATTCCAGGGAACCATCTGGGGTGTCAGGAATTCACATTTTTATTTGATGGTAGTTTAACTACCATCATAATTCCTTGAATAGTACACTTAAAATCAATATATTTTAATTATTTAAAATTATAATTCTATAAAGTTGATGTAAAAAAGGCAGGAAACCACTAACACAGGGCCAAGAATTGTCATCGATATATAGAGAGCACAATGGAACCACATTATTTGAGTCAGATTCCTGGTTGTTGTAAGACATTGGAGAGGTTACTCTTTGAGCTTTAGTTCTTTTATATGTAAAATAAAGGTGCTTTAATAATTTTCTTAAGATTGAGTAAGTTGGTGCTAAGTGATCATAATAATGACTGACATAGCATTAAGTAAATATAATTTCTAATGATTATTTTGTCATATTAGTATCACTGGTAAATATTCTTCTCTGCTTTCTCTCTGGTGAGGGAATTGCCTCACACACCCATATGACCAAAATATAAGCTCCTCATGCAACAGTAATATGAGTTCCCATTAAGTCCAGTCTTTCATACATTTTGCAGGGAGATAAGGAGCTATCTGAATAGAGATAGTAAGTAGAGCAAAGAAAAAGTTGTATAGTTGTCTCAAAGGTTAGAGTAGGCCTTCAATTTTAAGCTTGTACCTTCTTCACCATCCTAAACTTAAAAGTTTTAGTTCAGCATCTGAGAATATTGCTCTGTGCACTGATAGGCCAGACATCACCTTGGAGTGCCCCACTGGGAATCCGTTCTTATAACAACAATTGAACGCACCTCATTTGACCTTGTCCAGCACTTGCTTCTAAAGGAGGCTATAGTCACAGAGATGCTGAGCTCTACCAAGCTGATGATTAGTAAGACTGACAAAATGCCCTGCAAAAAAATGAATATAAATAAATGGCAATTAGGATGAAAACTGTTTCATTTTACAGATCTAAGCAAAGGACCACTTTACACTATATGGCCAAATAAAGTAAAACCCATATTGTAGATGCTTCTGTAGCCATCAGCGGTTGAACAATTTTCATCTCATGTCTTCCCAATAAGCAGAGGAAACAAATTCCAATGCCTGTAGAGGCCAGGCAACCATCTTACATGACTTAAACAGGTAAGAGGAGAAATGGTGGAGAATAAAGGTATTTCTAGAATTCATCCATTATTCAGTTTCAGGCAATAGTTACCATGTGGGAATAGGGGCCCCATGATGCCTGGTCTTTTTTTTCCACTTAAGAAAGCCTGATATACATATTTTTAATGTGAAATTTTCCAGTTATTTATTTACTTATGTAAATTAACTAGAACATATGTTCAGGCTGAATATAGCCCACAGATTTCCATTTTGCACACTCTGCTTTAAGGTAATGCATAAATCAAGAAGCAGCATGGAATAGCATGGTGTCCAAAAAGCATAGACTATAAGATAGAAAGAGGTGGTACAATTGGGTTCAAGGTTACACTTAACCTTGAGGAAGTGACTGAGTCCAACTGAATCTTGATTTTTCTGCAACACATTCAAAAGCTTAGATATACCCTGTTTGTTGGTGAAGTATTAGGTATGAAGTACCTACTGTAAATTTACTGGTTTTAGCTGTTGTACAAGAGATACCTGGTTTTGGTCTTTGTGGAACTTCTATCATAGTAAAGAAGGCAAACAGCAATAAATAGGTGATTACTTACTTAACTAAATTATGGTAGGTGCTGTGAAAAAGTGCTGGGAGCTATGCATGGCTTTCATAAGAGATCTGATCAGGTCTGCACTGGGGAAGGTAGAGCTGCAATCGAGAAGGATATCCTTAAAAAAGTGATGTTTCTGATTGGAATCAGGACTTCCGCCAAGATGGAAGCATAGGTGGAGACACCTATGTGCTTTCTCACACAACCAAGTTTAGAGACAACAAAATATTAGCGACAGAAAACACAGCCGGAACACAGAAAATTGAACTTTTCGGAAGTCTGATAACAACGAATTCTTCAGCCTGACCAGTGAGAGGGGTGAAGCCAGCAGCTGGTGGAGTGGGGTTGCACAAGAAAACTCCCTCAGATGGACTCAGGTGTTTGGATCCCAGGCATGGGGTTGCAACGGGCGGGCCCAGTGAGCAACCCAGTGCGTGACCCAGTGAGCGACCAGCCGGCCCAGAGAGGGTGCAGGGTGGTCGGGTTGACTGTGGTCACGCATTCGTGCACAGATAGACCAGCAAGGGAGTGGGCAGTGAGACGGGAGCCAGCAGGCCTCAGCAGCAAGAGGCAGCAGAGGGGGCCACCATTTCCCTGCTTTGACCCCGCCCCCACATACAGCATCACATCCCAGCTACATGGGCGGCCCCGCCCTGGTGAACACCTAAGGCTCAGCTCCTCCTACTTAACCATGCAGAACAGACCAAAAATGACTAAAGAAGATCTCAAAGCCCCAGAGCCCATAACTAAGTGACGAAGAAATAGAAAAACTATCAGATGTGCAGTTCAAAGCACTGGTGATCAGGATGCTCACAGAACTGGTTGATTTTAGTCACAAATTAGAGGAACACATGAAGGTGAAACTAATTGAAATGAAGGGAATTGCACAGGAAACCAATAGTGATGAAAAGGAAACTGGGACTCAAATCAAGGGAGTGAACCAGAAGGAAGAAAAAAATGGCCAAACAGAAAAATATGAAGAAACAAGATTTCAAAAAAATGAGGAGAGTCTTAGGAACCTCCAGGACATCTTTAAATGCTCCAACATCCGAATTATAGGGGTACCAGAAGGGGGAAATGAACAGCCACCAGTGGAAAACATATTTGAACAAATAATAAAGGAGAATTTCCCCAATCTGGCAAAGACAATAGACTTCCAGGAAATCCAGGAAGCTCAGAGAGTCCCAAAGAAGTTGGACCCAAGGAGGAAAACACCAAGGCACATCATCATTATATTAGCCAAGATTAAAATGAAGGAGAGAATTCTAGAAGAAGCAAGAGATAAGGGGACAGTCACCTACAAAGGAGTTCCCATCAGACTGTCAGCGGATTTCTCAAAAGAGACCTTACAGGCAAGAAGTGGCTGGAAAGAGGTATTCCAAGTCATGAAATCCAAAGACCTACAACCAAGATTGCTCTATCCAGCAAAACTTTCATTTAGAATGGAAGGACAGATAAGGTGCTTCTCAGATAAGATCAAATTCAAGGAGTTCATCATCACCAAGCCCTTATTATATGAAATGTTAAAGGGAATTATCTAAGAAAAAGAAGATTAAAAATATGAACAGTGAAAGGACAGCAAACTCACAGTTATTAACAACCACACCTAAAACAAAAGCAAACTAAAAGGACAGCTAGATCAGGAGCGGAACCATAGAAATGAAGATCTCATGGAGGGTTAGCAACAGGGAGGTGGGAGGAGGAGAAGGGGGGAGAAGGTACAGAAAATAAGTAGCATAGACGGCAGGTAGAAAATAGATAGGGGGGCAAGAATAGTATGGGAAATATAGAATCTAAAGAACTTGAGACATGTGGTCATAAACTAAAGGGGGGGAATGGTGGGGGCGGGCGGTGCAGGGTGGAGGGGAATGAAGGGGGGAATAGAACAACTGTAATGGCATAATCAATAAAATTTTTAAAAAGTAAAAAAAAGTGATGTTTCAATTGAAAGTAAAGAAAGAGGCGGGGTTCAGTGAGTAGGTGGAAAATGGTAGGAACAGGTCTGGGGAACATTTGAAGCAAAGAAAAACTGGTATTATGGCCCTGGGACAGTGAGTATTGATACCTTAAGGAATTTCAGAAAGTGGCAGAAGAATGGAGTGAGGAAGATAAAGGTCTGGAATGATGTCAGGAAGATAGGCAGGAAGTTTCTACAGGGTCTTACAAGCCTTTTCAGATTGGGGTCTTAATTCTGTTTAACAGGAAGCCATTGACTAATGTCCTCAGATTTACCTGTTGAAGTATAGACTGAAGTGTAGAAAATGGATGGTCTTTGGAACAAAAGCCAGTCCAAGAAATGCCTAAAGCCCATTGCTCTGGCATTTATGATTTATGATGTATGCATTACAGCAAGGAATTGTGGAGTTATAGAAATGAAGTCTGAAACAAATTAGATATACCATATTTTTGGAATATAAGATGCACTTTGCCCTTTCCCCCTGTCCAAATTTGGGAGGAATAATGGTTGTTAATGCTGCTGTTGAGTTCTGTTTACATTTACACTGGTGAAATATTATGTCATTTATGTTATGAAATATTTTACCACATTTTTTGCTTCAAAAATTTTTTTCCTATTTTCCTCCTCTAAAACCTAGGTGCATCTTATAGTCCCAAAAAATCATCTTTAATACTGTATGTAGAAACTAATCTTGCAATATCCAACCATGTGGGGCAGGAAGTAGGCACCAAAGTTTCATTTATATTGGAAGTTTAACACTTTCAGTACACAATTTCTTCCTTGTACATACTAAAATAATGTACAGTGGTGGCCCTCTTCCCACTATGAAAAAGGTAAGGATTATAATTAGGACAGGATTGGCCTAATTAGGACAGGATTTCATCTCTTATATTGATTGATCTCTAGCTTTCTTTAGTAACCTTTTATGAGTTTAAGTCTGGAATTTACCTCAGAACATATGGAAACACAATCACTCACTTTAATGAGTGATTATGAGGATCAAATAAGATCTATTGAGTAACTAATAGCTCTTTTTTCTTTTCCTCTTCATTGGGGAAGACAATTTCCCATGATTCCCCTTCACTTCCATCCAAATGGGTCAGATCTCATTAACAATCTAGAACAAAAGCTGTGAAGATGTGGCTGGTAGACAGAGAATGAAACCCCAGCATTCACTTGGGGAAGTAGAGGGAATGGCTTTTTTGATTTATTGACATGTGTAAAAATAATCTCATTGAATACTTTGTAGATAAACATATGAAATTATACCTACAATTACATTTTCTGGTAAAGACACATCTCATCTGCTTTAATAAGTAAAATGGGCACATTTATATACAATCATTTATCTTCTAAAATTATTAATATATTTTATTAAGCGACTTAAATGCCTTCTCCCACTGTATTTGCTTTTAGTTTTAGGTAAACTTTTAAAATCATTCTGTTCCTCATTAATGCTGAAAAGGTAAAGTTTAATTCAATCCATGTCAACCCTAAAGGTAATAGTTAAAATCTGTTGACCATTTACACTGTACCAGGTAGTATTCTAATTTAAGTAATCCTTCCAATGAGGTAGATACTCTTATTATCTTCATTTTTCATGAGGAAAACTGGGGCTCAGAGAAGACAAAATGTTAGGCAAGGCCACAAGCTTACACGTGACAAAACCAGGATTTCAAATCCAGACTCGAACCACAACGTGCTTCTCAACAGTCAGTTCAAATGTGGACACAGCATCAGTTATCGAATCGGTGCATCATGAATATCTCAGATAAGATTACAGAGATTTCATTGTACAGAACAAGACCACTTACAGTGAAAAGGATTCTACCTATAACACATATTCCTTCGATGGAAGGCGAGTCGCAGTACTGGTGCTGATGTTGAAAGCTGATAATGGTGAGAGCAATCCCAGCCACTGCAACCAAGGAACTGATCACATTCATGGCCATGACATCTTGCCCCTGGGAAAGTTGTTAAAAATAATAAAGGCAAACAGTTTTAGGATGAGCCAGGAAGCCAAGAAAGAGAAGGAGTAGAGGAGGGTGCTCTGTGGTTAATGCTTAAGAAAATGTTCTCCATCTCTGAGTCTGTCCCCATTTTCCTTGTTAGTTCAGTTTGCTCATTAGATTCCACATATGACTGAAATCATATGGTATTTGTCTTTCTCTGACTGGCTTATTTTGCTTAGAATAAGAGGACTAAAATGGTAATGAAAATACAACAAAGATTAATTTTTTTAAAGAAAATGTTTACTTTATCCTATGCACCACCCTTCACAACTGATAAGCAAAATAGTGTGTTAGAAATTATCTTGGCCTTGTAATCAAACCTGATTTTGAGTCTAGTGAACTATTAATAGAATGTCATGCAAGATAGCTAATCTCTTGGAGTCTTGATTTCTACCTTTAAAAATGAGAGTGATGTCACCTAATTTTAGGGCAGTACCCATTTAGTCACCTATTTTAATAAATATTTAGTGCACACCAGCTATGTGTCGGACTCTGCATTAGGTCCCTGGGACATAGAAGCAAGCAGGGTAGATGAGGTCCTGCCCTCACGTGGCTTAGATCCATTACTCAAGGGGGATTTGCACAGTAACCCACCACATCATCATTAACATAATTCACACGTGGTAACAAATTGGGACTGAGGCTTAAAGGTCCTTCCATCCTTCCTTCCTTCTTTCCTTTCCTTTCCTTTCCAGTGTTCCACCAACTTGAAAGTTCACATGGCCCCATCCAAATGCCTCTACTCATTCCATTTTATATTATTATTATTATTATTATTATTATTTGCTTATATGTCTGAATCCCTTTGAAGGGAGGATAATATCTTCATTTTAAAGAGGAAAGAAAAATCGCACATCTCAATTTTGTAGGTACAACCAAAACTGTCCTCAGACATTGCCAAATATTCTCAGGGGGGTGGGGGAGGGGCTGCAAAATCGCTCCCAATTAAGAACCACTGAATTAGAGCAATGGTTTTCAACTTTTTTCATCCCATAGCACACATAAACTACTCACATTCTCAAAAAATATATATTTTTTTACTGAGCTGACAAAAATACTGGGTATAATTTTGGTTCATTTACACCAATGGCTATTGTATTGACTGTGTCATTTTTATTTGACAATCTAAGGGAAAAGAGGTCAGTGCCTCTGACTAAATAGTCAAGTCTCGGATGTTTTAAAAATTCTTTCAGCACATTGTTTGAAAATTGCTGGAATTTGAAAATTAGAGGAGTGTAGGAGGGCTTCCAATAAGCAACTTTTTCAGTTTAGTTGACCAGGGTGATGAGAACCAGTGGGAGGGTGTAGGGCTAATGATGACACTGACCAACAGCAGTGACTTGAACCACAAACTTGGCATGTAAAGATTTTCATAGGAGATCTTGGATTACTGAAGGCTTTGTACACAAAGATGAGATAAAGCAAGTAGAAGATTTCAAATTACATAGGAGCCACGAAAGTGACTTACCAGACATTTTTCCTTCCTGTTGAATCCTGTGACATATCCTGTAATAATAAACTTTTAAGAAGAAAAGAGACAAAAGTTAACAAGTGATGGATTTGACCACTTTACAATATAATTAACTTAGGAGGTTATGTTGTGATCTATTGGTCTGTGGTTCTCCCAAACCAGTCTCTCTACCTAAGCATCAGAGGAGGAGGGTAGAACTGATGTAGGAAATACTGTGCTGGCTGTGCTCAGCACTGACCAAGGCCTCTTTGCCAAGGTCAGCTGGGAGAGGCAAGCCCCTCTCCAAGGTCCAAAAGATACCACTCAGATGTTTGGCCCAGCTGGGCTCCAAAAAGAAAGATAATCCTGGACTCTGAGTCTGGGAAAGGGAAGAGTGAGCTGTGTCTGTTCTGAGCAGATGGAAGGAGACTTTCTCAGGGCAGAACTCTCTGAAGGCTGATATGCGGCCTGGAATCTGGTAATGATCTCAGCCACTTCTTCTTTTTTTAATTGAATAAAGATTTTGTTATACCGCATATACAGTGAGCAACTGGTACAGAAAAGGCCATTTTTGGTTATTTTGTGGATAATTTTTTCCCATAATTTCTCCCTCTAAAGTATAGTTCTCTAAGCAACCACCACGACAAAGGAAGCATTAATTAACTATTTTATTCAGATACCAGAATGTTGGGCATATACTGTCCCATCTGTAGTTGTACCAGCAGTGAAATGAACATGGTTTATATACTCAGCTATTCTTTGAACTCCAAAAACTATTGAAGTCTTTTCTGAGGTTCACCAATGTTTGCACAGCATTTGAATGTTCTCCAAATGTGGTAGTTATTTGATAAATGGCAGTTTTTCATGATGCTGTAAATGCAAATCCTAATGTTTTATCAGACGTATCCACAAGGGTTCCTGAAATCCGAGGTGGTGTACTGGAAGCATGAGGAAGCTTGAAGTACTTGTACTGCCTCTTGCAGAATCAACAAAGTACTAAGAATTGCTGGTCGTGTGATCTGGACAATTCCAAATCCATCTTCTCTAAATGATGCTGCTACTGAGACAGACCTTCCAATGAAAAAACAGCCTGAATAGAGGTTTGTGGGTGCTTACAGAAAAAATACATTATCAGTACCCATTGTGACAAGAAATTCTTAATCTGTTCATGTTTTTTCTGAATTCATGAATAATCACACTGGGCTGTCTCACTGTCTTGCTCTTGGCACCAACAATAGATGGGAGATTAGAAAGTTCATTCATTTGCTGATTAGAAGCAGAAGTCCATAAACTTGGCCTTCTTCTTATCAGCTGAGAACTTTGAGGTGACCCATAGCAGGTGTTTACATTAAAAATTCCAGCTGTCTGATACAATTAGACTAGAACCAAACTGAAACCCAAAAGGTCTTGCAACACTGAGTATAGAAGGCCAGGGAATCTGGCTAAATTTGGGGGTCTGAAAAGTGGTTTCTTTTGGAGAATTCAATTTCTTAGTTTCTACTGGGTATGATGAAGACATCACCCTTCCATTTTTAGTAGCAGCTTTTTGATAGATAACCAGCTTCTGAGTCATATCATTTAGAAGATTCAAACACTCCCTGGAAATAGCTGTTCAGTTGTGGAACTGTCCACTTGGTTGGCTAATATTAAAAACTTCTTCCTGTCTTCATGAAGAATATTGAGAAAGCAACATCAGGTCCTACAAGGCCAAATACTTCATGATAAGGGGCAGATTGCTATTTAAAACTTTTAAGAGACCTTAATTTGACTCTTCTGAAAATTGTCATTAAATAGGGAACAGATGAGGCTTTGTGTCATAGACCTTGAAGAGTATCCATGAGATGTACCAAGCCATCAAGAGAACTCACATAACCAGACGTGATAGAGAGATTCAAGCAACCACTCACAGTATCAAGAGGTCTGTGAACTTGATCATCAATCTGAAGGTCCATAGCAGTGCTTTGGGAATAGGGCCAAGACAGTAATATGCAATACAGATATTTTAAATCAAGAATAGTGATCCAATACAACTGCGATTACCTACTAAGAGCAAAGATCTCCTAAAGCACAAGAACTTATATTGCTGTATGATGGAAAATGGAGGATAGTTCACATTGTTAAGAAAATACAGGAGGCTGTAGCTATAACCCATAAAATGCTCCAGCCAGTAGGAAAAAAGGTGATACTTATTTAAGCAGGTTTGTGCAGCTGGGTCATCGAAGCTCTTAGTACTTAGTACTGTTCTTAGTGGTTTCCAGGGCAGGAAACCACAAGAAAACTGCATCAGCCCTTTGTTATCTCTGCAGCACATGAAGCCACCATCACTCCCATTGCAGCATGAATAAATAAGTACATGAGCTTCTGAGGATGAGTGATATCCCTGAGGATGAATGAGTGCCAGTCTGGAGCAGAGAATGGAAGGCACAATGCATAGAAGTCTACACTGAAAATACTTATTATTATTACTACTGACAGCAGGAAGAAATAAAAAATTACACAACTCTATAGATCATTGAAAGAATCAGACAGCCACTGTATAGGATGAAATGAATCACTGCTGCTGAAGATTGTAAATACTGTGGTACAGATGGGTAGAAGCAGCACTGACCAGACAATACTTGCAACTATCCTCCAGCCCAAGTAGGCCAAAAGATGTGCCATGACATCTATGTGCCAAGCACTTCCCTGACCTCCCAAGGCCAGATATGTTCTCCATTAATCCTTACATGGTTCACCCGGTATTCCATTCTTATGCGTGCTTAGCACAGGTTATGTTATTTTTACTTCCTCATTTCTAGCCTCCTTATTACATGGCAAACCCCAACAAATTCTAAGAGCAATCCCCCAGTTCTCTCAAAGAGGGTCTATTTACCAGAACTCTCAGCACCTAGGACACTGCTGAAGATATACTTTGTGCTCAGTAAATATCTTTTCAATGAAAAGTGGAGTTTTAACAAGCTGTATGCCAGAATCTCATTAAAATGTATGCATGCAAATCACACAAAGTCATACTGGGAAAATTCTTTGTGAAAAGGACAAGTGAAGAGTTGGTCTGTTTGGTTTTTCTACAGTGCAGAGTGCGTAGTTTGAAAATCATAGTCAATATTATATTATTTGTATTTGGAAGAGAAAACACTACTAATTGTCTTTGTAATGCAGATTATAAAAAAGGCATAGAATATTTATGTTCTTCAAAAGAGTAGAGATTTTAATGGAGATAGTGGTCTCATTTATTTTTCATTCCATCCATTTGTCCATTGAATGATGCATTCATTCATGCCTACTGTGCATTCAGCATGAGTCTAGACCCTGAAAATGAAACAACCAAGACAATATTCTTGCCCTCTTGGAGACTGTGTTCTAGTGGGGGGAGTTCTAATGAGTCTACCCTTAAATATTGTGGTACAAAAATAGGAACCAAGGCTGTGAAGATTGGCTGGAAATAGCACTCTACTAAGAATTTTATTTATAGCTCTATAATTAACTAGATAAATGACGCTCATAAAATTATTTCAGGATAACAAGGGGATTGAACCATAATGATCATCTTAAAATTCTCCTTAAGCTGTGAGAGTCTGTGATTCTATGAGTGCTAGCTAGGTATTGGGTTGACCAAAAAGTTATCTTGTTTTTTTCCACAAGATGGCTCTAGTAGCACTTAATTGTCTTTAATTTTATTCAAAACAGTTCTGTTAAATTGTATTGTGACAACTGTCATATCAGCGTACTTTTTAAAAAAAAATTGAAATTGGTAAATTTTGTCTAGCCATTTTAATATTGAAGATAGAAGAATATATGCAACATTTTTGGCATATAATGCTTTATTATTTCAAGAAAGGTAAAAACACAACTGAAATGCAAAAAGAGATTTGTATGGAGAAGGTGTTGTGACTGATTGAATGTGTCAAAAGTGGTTTGCAAAGTTTCATGCTGGAAATTTCTTACTGGACAATGCTCCAGAGTTATGTAGAGCAGTTGAAGTTAGTAGCGATCAAGTTGAGCTGTTAACTGAGAACAATCAACATTCTACTATGCAGGAGATAGCTGATATACTCAAAATATCCAAATCAATAAAGTTATTGATGAAAAATTTAAAAATGTCTTTTATTTTACAGGAAAAAAACCTTACAGACTTTTTGGCCAACCCCATATTTTTAAATTAACTCTTCTCAAACTCAGTTTCCTTATTTGCAAAGGGAAAAGCAGGGTGTTCACCCACTTAATCTCCCAGATTGATAGAAAGGAGCTAATGTCTTGTTATACACTAAACAGTTTTGGAAACCTTTAAACACTGCACACCTACAAGTAGTTATTACTTTGATGATGGCAGTGCGGTGACTAAATGGAGTCACTTATCTTCCCATGGAAGGGACTGGTCTTTTTGGGGACCATATTCATAGGATTCATTATCCCAGGACTTGAGGCCAGTCTTTATAGTAATTTCTCTAAAGTTCCCAACAGTACTCACAATAAGCGCTCCCCAGAATGGATATCCTGTGAAGAAAACAAGTGGAAATCTTTGGGAGTAACTGAAGTAATTAAATGCAAAAATTGTCCCAATGCTCACAATGATCAAGGCAAGCAGGATCTGAACAGCCTGTGAAGAGAGAAATAGGTACATGAGGTCACAAGCGCCTCAGTGTCTCTGGCCTGGTTCTCACAGGTCCCTTGGGCTTCCCTCAAGCATCTGTCACTCTTCCCTCTTACTGAATGCCTTCTCTTCCATTGACCAACCATTCTCAGATTTTCAGAAGGCCCATTATTTCTCCTCATCACACTTGCCTGGGTCCTTCAGGTTCAAATGCTTTACTCTCATTTATCACTACTTGCTATAACCCCTGGTGTTACCAATTTCTCTTGTATACGACAAATTTGAGTATACGTCTGACTCTACCTATAGATTGCAAACACCCTAAAGACAGAGACTACAGGCTATTCACCTTTACACCTTTTTTCTTCTGTAGCCCCAGCATCCTGTTACTTTCCCCACTCCCCAATACACACACATTTTCCACATTCACTGTCTGCTTTTGGGATTGTAGCTCAGCCCAGTTCTCTAAAAGTTTATAAAATTCACTGATGCAGAGTGGAGAAGTGAGGGTGAGATTATGTCTCATATCTTCATGCAACAGCCTGAATAAAGTGGAGAGGAACCTAGTGAGCTTTTCAGCTGGCACAGAAGGGAGCTCTGTGGTGGGCCCATGGCTCTTCTCAATGCAGAGCTGTTCCTTCAGCACTCTGGGCTCTGTCCCTAGGCTACACCTCTGTGTCATGGTGCCACAAGTAGTGATTTTACTCTTGTACTAAGTACTCTTGTACTAAGTATCTTACTCTTGTGCATACAGCTCCCTTCTAAGTACATTTATGACTGCAATTGTTTTTATGTGTGTGTCTACTTTGTAGCTCACTATGGAGCACTGAGTGTAGTTCTTAAAGACTTCCCAATGCCTGCAACAGCACAGAGGGGAAGTTTAAACTCTAATGGCTTTTGTTACAATCTCAGAGGTGCCACCATATTCTGAGGTCACCTCTTCAATAAAATATTTGGAAAAATTACTCCAGTTTCTTGCATCTCCTCTGCTGTAACTCAAAGACCAGAACTGACTCCTCAGGAAACAGCCGTAGGATTTCCTTGAGGTGTGGGAGTTAGTAACTGTAGTCAAATATTCTATTTTGCAGAGTTAAATAAGCCCTCAGAAACATTTCTAAGACATGGGACATAATGTGTATTTTTCTAAACAGAATTTTTATTTCTCTTGTTTATCCAAAATCTAGGGAAACTGTATTGGCTATATATTGGCTCTTCTACAGATGATCCAAGTATTTGTATGAGCAAATGACTTAGAAGTATTTTTGATTAATCAAGAATGATACACTGTAGTTGAAGGGTGAAGAAGGGGGAAGGGAGTCTACTCCCTCCCTGAAAAGTATCTCTGGAGACATACATGGAGAAATCATTTCTTTTTTCCCTTCCAGGAAGACCCATGGATGAGAGAGGACTTACCCCCAAGACTCTGGGCTCTCCCTTGAGGAAATCCAGCAGAGAGCTATGAGGCCCATAGGGAAACGCAGTCAATACGGTTTCATTTGGTTGTAAAGTGATGGCATGGGTCGATCTTTTGACCTCAAATGATGACCCCATGATTCAAAGGCAAAACTCTATCTAAAAAATGAGTGAGCAGACTTTGTAGCCACAATCATGGTCTTCCTTCAGTCCCACGTGGAGTCCTTAGCAATGAGCCCATACTGATTACTCACCTCAGTACTAGAACCACAGAATCACAGTCATTAAGTCATAGAGTCTTAGAATTCCAGAGCATATCCAGCCCCGTATCTTCCTGGTGAAGAATCCAGTTATCCAGAGGACTTACTTTCTTGTCAATTTGTTTAGAAACAGACAGTAAACACAAAATAAATGGGCAGTATATATAAAAGCAAAGTCTAGCATCTATATTCATGAGATATAAAGGAACTAAAGAATGTAGAATATGCACTATGCTCTAGGCACTGTAGAAGGCGTTTTGTTTTAATATGCATTAAATTTTATAAAGCAATTCTACGATGCTGAAACTGAGGTACAGAAGGGTTAACTTACCCAAGATCACATACTAAGGGACAAGAGAAAGAGTCAAACTCTGCTTTTATGTCTCCAAAATTTGTGCCAATTCTGCTCAATCATGCTTCCACCCTCTTTCAGAAGGAGGTTCCACTTGTAGTTAATGAATTGCTTCCTGTATCTTTCAACCATATCCCTCTGTAGTATAAAATCAGTCATTAAGAAGATGTAGGCCCAACATCATTGCCACTTTAACAGAGCATATTTTAGCTTTTGGAAAGACCAGTAAAGCTAATTCTACTCTAGGTTTTCCTGGTTTCAATTATACAGTTAAGACAATAGAAAGTCTTTTTTGAAATTTTACTTTCTATGTCAATACTTTATATTCCTATATCTGTTATGATTTTAACTATTAACTCATAAAGGAAAATGATTTCAGAAAACCAAAGAAATGCATATATATATACATATATATATATGTATATATATATTCAAATACTCCTCATGAAACAGCCATAGGATTTCCTTGAGGTGTGGGAGTTAGTAACTATAGTCAAATATTCTATTTTGCAGAGTTAAATAAGTCCTCAGAAACATTTCTGACATGGGACAAAATGTGTATTTTTCTAAACAGAAATATAGACTTTCAATATAAACTTTCAATATAGACTTTGTTTGAAATATAAACTTTAAAACAAAGATACTATTTGAATATATATTTAATATTTCCTCGTTTGTGGCAACCATACATAGCAGGGTTTCTGCCTCAGCATTGCTGGCCGGTGGGGCCTGATGATTCTTTGCTGCAGGGGGTTCTGTGTATTGTAGGATGTTTGGCAGCATCCATGGCCTCTACTCACTAGATGCCAGCAGCGCGTCTCAACTACGGCAACCAAAACTGTTTCCAGACCTGGCTAAATTTGCTCGCTGGGGGTGCAAAATCATTCCAGGTTGAAAACCACTGATGTACAGAAATAGTCGTAGACTGTTCCCCCTGTTATTTTTTTTATAGAGAGTGCCTCTTTGTTTTTTACACCCAAACCACAGAGAAGGAATGTATTTCTCAGCACACCTTTTTTCTGCCAATGTTAATTCGGGTAAATTTTAATTTGTGTCTAAAGTGCAATGCAACATTTTAAACAAAACAAAGTCTGGGACAAGTCTGTATGTAAAATCTGAGCAGAACTGACCGGCCATCAGAATCATGCGGAGTTTCAAAAGCCAGTTGCGCAAGAAAAGAGAAGTGCGCCCCCAATGGTGCTGACTCTAACTGCAGCCACGAACTGCACACACAGCATCTTGACCAATTGCTGTGATTATTTGGTGAGCAAGTGATTGCAGTACTTTAAACCTTTTATAACCTGTTAACTTACAACTTATATATAAATAATTTATTGCCTTTTACTCACATTTTAGAAAATTGGATAGGACTTTGAGTTAGCCAATAGCATATAATTTTTTTCCTTTAAAATAAGGAAAAAGAACTGTCTTCACGTAAAACCCCTGGTTTTTAGGAATGAATTACTGACATTAAGTAGAAGAAGCTTATAATTCTATATGCCTTGGTTATTTCAAAATGCATGTCATTTTGATTGTCGGCCTCTGCCTTTGCCTCCTGCTTCAGACTTTCAAACTTTTTAAAAATGGGCTCTCTAATATTTCAATCAGTGGAATCAGACCAGAAGGCAGGAACTAGGTTTTCCATGGAGAGGTGAAATGACAGAATCCTTATGGGGTATCTATAAGCAGGGTGATATTCTTTGAGTGGAAATGGAATTCCCTCTTGCCTTCAACCTGCAGGAGACCTCTCTTCCTTGAGTTTGACAAGTAACATCTATCTAGTGCTCAGTATGTGCCAACACTGCTCTAAGTAAAATGAGATATTCACTCCCTCATTAAGTGCATCTTTCTGTCAGTATTACCAAATCACCTTCCCAACAACCTTGAGAAGTAGGTTTTTATTATCATAGCTATTATTGAAGACATACCTGAGTACTGTAGTTACTGCTGGTTAAGTGGTGGGGCTGAAATTTGAACTTGGCTTTTTCGCTTCCACTCTCCATGCAGCAATTCAGTGTGTATTAGTTTACTATTGCTATGTAACTACCACAAATCTAGTGGCTTAAAGCAGTACACATTCATTAGCTTGCATCTTTTGTGGCTCAGGAGCCATGGCTTGGTTGGGTGCCTTTGCTCAGGACTTCGCATGGCTGCAGTCAACAAGTCAGCCAGGATGTATTTTCACCTGGAGACTCAGCTGAGGAAAACCCACTTTACGCACATTCGGAGAGCTGACGGAATTTGTTTCCTTATGAGCATATGAGTAAGCTGGCTTTGCTGGCTAGAGGCAAGAGGCTGCCATCAGGACCTAGGGGTTCCTTCAATGCCTTGCTGCCTCACCTGGCTGCTTACTACATCATCAGACCAAGGAGATCTTGTACCAAGTTAGGTAAGATAGGAGGAAAGATTGTAGAGTTTGTGATAAAGGTCTGAGTGTGTGTGGCTCAGTCACTGATTTTGGGTTACTGTTTGGGGGAAGATGCATTTTTTAAAAAATTAAGAGTGAGAACCCAGAGTTCTAATGTGTATGTTAAAGATTTGCAATATCTGCTTGGATTTGGTTGAAACCATTCACTCCTCTTGCTGTGAGTTCATTAGACCTTCCTGTTAGTGGTTTTTGCCTAACAGTTTTCCCAATGGGAATGTGGTAGAGAGGCAAAGGGAGGAGTCAAGAACAACTCCCAAATTCCTGTCTTTGGAAACTAGTGGGTGGTCATGTCATTTGTTAAAGACAACCAGGTTGGGGGTTGGGGGATAGCAGAGGAGAGTTGAAAATGAAAGATGCAACTTTACTGTACCTTCTGTCAGTTTACAATGTTATTCCAGGTGATTTTTTAAATTTTATTTACTTATTTTTCAAGTACAGTTTTCTCTCTATTTCTCCCATCCCAGCCCAACCTGCCCTGTGCTCCCCACCTCCCTCCCATTTCCGCCCCCCTTAGTTCTTGTCCTTGTGTCCTTCATACTTGTTCCTCCAAATCCCTTCCCTTTTTTCCCCTTAAATTCCCTCCCCTCTCCCCTCTGGTCACTGTCCCCCTATTCTCTATTTCAGTGTCTGATTCTTAATATAGTTCTCCAGCTATACCGAAGAAACTTTTTGTTAACAGCAAAAAAACAAACAAATAAGAGATAGGTCCTGGATAGAGAAAACTGTACTTGAACAACAATTAAAATTTTTTTAAAAAAGAAATATGTCCTGGATAAAATATAATTTTATTGCATTGCTTGACATATGAGATAAAGAGGAACCTCAAGTGTTCTGCACCCAAGTTTAAAATATTCACAATTGCACACACACTTAAAAACCATTCAAATAGGAGCTGAAACCTCAGCAGGGAGTAGTAATTGAGTGCCCTAATGTAGCTTACAGACTACTGGAGTAGACATACAATTGACAAATAAAATACATAGTGAGTCACATGGTAGTAAATACCATGAAGAAAGAAATAAGCAAGCGACAAGGAAAGAGGGTTACAATTTTTATAGGTTTGGGGAGGGAGTTTTATTGCAGCTCAGAGATTTGAAGAGAGACCTGAAAGAAGTGAGAAAACAAGCAATAAAAATAATTGAAAGAAAATCCTTTCAGGTAGAGGAATGCTGTGTAATAAAATAAAAGAATATGCCAAGTGACAGCAAAAGGCCATTATGACAGGAGTAGAGGAAGCAAGGAGGAGGGAAGTCAGAGAGAGGATCGGAGAGGAACTGAGAGTTTTGATCTTATAAGGACACTTAAGGATGCTGGCTCTTATTTGGAATAAAATGGAATGGGTTTGAGCAGAGAAATGACATGATCTATTTTAGATTAAAAAACAAAACTCCTGCTGTCTTCTATGAGGAGAAAAGGCTGAGGGGTGTGGGTGACCAGCTGGCTGCTTATTGTGATAATGACAAAGGGAAATGATGAACCAGAGTACTTGTGGGATGGTGAGAAGTAATCAGGCTCAATATATTTTGAAGTTAGAACTAGCAGGGTTTAGTGACAGCTTAGATATGATGTGTGAGAGAAATAGAAAAGTCAATGATGACTTCAAGATTTGGGGGAGATGATGTTTTAAAAGAATTTGACTGAGGAGAAGACATGAGAGTTGGCTCAATAACTAGACAAGTACAAGAAGTCAAAAGTAACTGTTAAAAATGGTTTTTATTTTGTTATAACGGAGAAGCGAGAGAACACATCACATATGCACAGCATCAGCAGCCAGATTGAGGAGAATGTTTCCAGGAAACCATAGGCTCTCTGGGTCTCCTTCCAATTATTACCCACAAAGGTGACCATGCTCTCAATTCTAACTCTATGTTAGTTTTGCTTGTTTTTTAAACTTTATTTTATGTAAATGGAATTATACAGTATATTCTCTCTTATACATAGCTTTTGTCCCCCTGATCATTATTTTTTTGTAGGTTTACCTATGTGGCCGCAGGAACTGTAGTTTGTTCATTCGCAGTGCTGTATAGTACTTCATCATCTAAATATACCATAATTCTTATTTGTCTTTTCTACTGTTTATTTGGATAGTTTTCCTTTGACGATTATTATGTGTATGACTTCTATGACCATTCTTGTACATGTCACTTGGAAAACATACATGGATGTTTCTGTTGCACAGTCCCCTCTGGGACAGGGCCCAAGACCCAGACCCAAGGGCAGTATTAAGAAGCTCTTTATTAGGTAGTTCATGTTGTTTACACCAATATGTAATGAAGTTGATATTATTTTTATTGGTCTAATTTCTTACTTGGTTTATAACTTAGATGGGACAGAGCACTATAATTAGTTATAATCTTTGAAACCAGATATTTAAGAATAAAGTCATTAAATGAGACAAACCATTGAGCTATTATATTTAATTGACAAAAATGTAATCCATTCAACTGACAAAAAGGAAGCCATATATTTTTAAGTATTTTTAATTAAAATTTTCCTGCAATCCTAATGTCTATTATTTAAGCAATATTCATGTGAAAATAATACAGAAACAGCGCCTGCTCAGGCACATAGCCAATTCACACTAACACAAGAGAGCACATTTTCTCCTCTTGTTTATGATAGACAATTACTTTCTGTCCAGTTTACCCAAAGAAGCTTGTAAATTTTATGGTCATTTTGGAAGACAGGCTAATGAAATTTTACTGGCCCAGCCTTTTGGGAAATTATTTTCAAGGGCAAGAAAATTACTCACACTGACAAACTACAAAACAGTAGCTATTTTTTTTTAAGTTTCTTTCATAGTCTAAAATCACTGAAAGTTCAGAGAAGTCACACTTTGCCTTGAGCACTGGGTTTCTCCTTCGTTTTTTCTCTAGAGCTGAGAGTTCTCACATCCATGACCTTGAAGAAGTCTTTGACATGTTTGATATAATCTTGTGACTGAGGCAAAAAAAATGAACTCTAGGAAAGATAAAATTTGTTAATAGAGGCTTTTGATTTTAGAGGCTTTTAAAATACATATTTATAACGCTTTCCCCACAAATGTTGTAGAATAGCTCTCCCAACTTTCTCATAATATGTAATTGCATCAATATTAGTTCAAACAAATGCCATTCTCTAATCTGCTAATTAGGTTACCATTTCCTGATAAGATCATGATTGAATCATAATTTAGTTGTCCTCTTTAAATATTTCTCCTTTTTTCTACTACAGCTTTTAAGTAAGAGTTTTAAAAAGTTGTAACATCAAGACCTAAGAAGAAGGAACATGGGGAAGCATAAACAGAACACAGGATGTTCCAGTAAAATCTCATCATACCAGCAAGGGAACTGAGAAGGGAGGCAGGTGGCTGTTCATGACAAGAGTGAAGAGATGCAAGTTCTCAGCCTCAGCCCATTAGCCTGCATCATTCATTCTCCATGTGATTTAATCCAAGCATTGATTCTTTTATAAGGGACTGAGCCAGGTGATTTCTAAAGTTGTCTAGCTTCATATTAAACAATTCTCTAACTAGTTTGCCATCCAATAGGCACCAACTGATCTCAGATGACCAGAGTGTCATCATGAAGGATCCCATTAATTGAACTCTTTTCTCACTATAAAAGTTGCCTTCCACATGTACTCAGTGACCAATAATGGACTTCTCTTTTTAGACCTGGATCATCATAGCTCAAATATTGGGACCCAGCAGGTATCATGTGACATGTCAAAGTACTCACCGCAGGGTTGCAGTAGACTTCTTTCCACCAAAAGACAGAAGCGTATGCAGCCAGCAAGAGCTCCAGCACAGTGAAGACAAACAACACCACCAGCACACCCTGCAAATCAGGACAGGAATGGTTGGTACCCTAAGCCAGCCCTTGCACCTGACTGAGAGAATATAGAAGATGAAAGCTCTAGCAGTGGCTCAGGCAGAAAGAAAATAGTTTAATGCTCTCTTCTGCTTTCTCTTTTCAATCTGTTAACAGAAGAGAAGTAGCAGCTACAGTTTCATCTCAGAACCTTCATCTCAGAACTTTCTGAGATAAGAGTATTCCTTCATTTACCTCTAGCAGCTTTTCTTTCCTTTTTTCCTTTGGTGCTTTTTACTGCCATGACGTTTTAGATGTGGACTTATTTTCATTTATTTCACATTGGTCTCAGTGCATTCCTTAAGCTTAAACTCTCATGTCTTTTTAAGATTCTGACTAATATTCAGCGATTTTTCTTTGCACAACTTTCCTCTCCCATGCTGTCCCACTGGAGCTCTGATAGATATGTGTTGAACCTTTTTAGTTTTCTGTATCCTCTACGTCTTTTAATTTCTCTGTCACATTTTCCAAATTTCTATCTTAATGTGTTGTGTTTGGTGTGCTTTAATCAAATTTCCATTTTGTTTCACTGTTTATTTCTTTGCATATGTTGACTGCTATTTAACTGGTGTGCTAAGCTTTTAATTTAATAACAGCTGTTATAATTTTCATTTCTAATCATACCATTTATTTCTTTTTCAAATCTACTTGTTCTTTATTTTTTCACTGTCATGTTCTTTCATTTTGGTTTCAATTATTTTTTGTGTGTCTTTTATTGTTCCAAATATATTTCTATTATAACTTTTTTCAAATTATTATGTAACCTGTAATTCTTGAGCAACTAACTTTTGTGTTTCTCCCATTTGCTGCTTTCCTCATTTTTTCCTTATGTTTTACAAAATATTTTTCTTCTTAGATAATTTCAATGTGGGGGTGGTATTGGGGGAAATTCTTTCATTTGTGGGAGACTCATAGATTGGGTTTATGGATGTCTCCCTCAATAGTAATTTTAGGTTTGACTCTGATAAAACCTTAGGAGTTTCACAGATCCAGAAAGTTTTTAAGTTAATGCTTTTATTTGAAGTTCTATCCTTTCCTATGTAATTTTATATTTGTATACCATATCTGCACAAGGCTTGATGAGATTATTTCATCCTAGAAATTTTTACAGCAGAGTTTCTTAAAGCTCCTTGGAATGTTGGGCAGAGTTTTCTTTGTCTTATTTTCATAAACCTTCTGTCTCAGCTTCTAACATTTTTGTGCACTCCCTGCTTTCTGTAGAGCCTCAGATCCTGCCATGGGCATTAAAACCCCATGACCCCAGTCTCTGACACCTTTTCTGTTCTCAGCTCTTGTTTGGTCATGACCTGGCTTTAGGGTTTTTCTTAGTTTCTAGAACATATAATGTTTTTCTTCCTTGATTTCTTTCTTCCTCTCACCGCCCCCTTTCTTCCTTCTTCTGAAAACCATGGGTATATACTGTAAATATTTTTTAATTTGTTACTTTTGCCCAGGTTATCTTTGTGTTAGTAAAGAAAGAGTGAACCTTTGAACTAGCTTACTTTGCCATGGTACACCTCCTCGGATGTTGTAGGAAGTCCTCTTTGACTCCAGTTATCCAAGAGTGGGAGGCAGTTTGGTGTACCGACATTAGTTTTCACTAAATTAAGCTCCTACTTTCCCAGTGGGGAGGATGCCTCTCCCAGCCCCATTGCTTTGCCTAATGTCTGACCTGCATCAGGGTTATACTATCTCCTGGGCTTCCTCATGCTGGCCTCTACCAGATGGGTCTCGGTGCTCTCCCGCTTCCTCAAGCTCTTGGATCAAAGGGGTTAATTTTAACAACCTCTAGGTCACATGGGCAGACCCATGAGAGACTATGAGTCCATAAACTTAGCACACATTCTCTGAAATCCACAAGACAGATAGATCCCAGGGAATTAGACAGAAGTGCCTTTGTCTCCCTAGCTCCTACTGAGAGGGCTCGAAAAAGAAGAAATATTTCTTCTTAAAGGGTCAGAGTTGATGATTTCAAAAACTCTGAGACTGTATAGAGAGGACTGACTAAGCCAGGATTGTCACCACCAACAGGCAGTGACCATCAAGTTTGGGGGAAAAGAAGCAAGAAAATGCTGCCCAGAGATGTTGGCATTTCTGCTAAGAGTTGAACCCTTTGGTGGGCCATCTCCTATGCCCTTCTCACTCTCTGCCTGACAAAGTATAATAATGATATTTTTGGGCTTTGGATTCAAAATTCTTATCTAACTTAATGCAGGGTACACTCATCCCAAACCAATGAAATTCAAATAAAGAGAGATATTTCTGGGATATTTCATTGAGGAAAAAATGCCTGTTCAACTAAGGGGGCAGTTTGAGAGTTAAACTTACTGAGATTTAAGAAGGGACCACCCACATCCCTTCTTGATTTCCTTTTTTTGATTTTGTACAATGCATCCCCCATAATATGCAGTCTGCTGATGGGCCTCCTTCAACAATAATTTTTTTTCTTCTGTCTGCTTCCAGACGTTCAGACTAACAAGGATAGGGACTACTGAAAAAGCATGATTATGCAAGGGTGGGGGACAGAGATTTCACATGACAGGATATTTGATCCAAAACTACTTACTGTTAGGCTGACACCACCCAAGACACAGCCCTCAACTTCATATGTTGTATAATCGTACTCCAAATTAGGCAATGCAGTTAGATGTTCCCTTTGTGAGCCACATAGTTGAGAGGCCCTCCCCAGGGCTACCAGGCTGTCAGCAAGGAGGATGAGGCCTGTTACAGCAACAACAGAACTCACTGCATTGGACATCAGGCTGCTCACGGCCTGCAAGAGAAATTCTGCACTGGAATCTCATCACAGAAGCAACATGTGATTCTGTTTCCCTCCTTCCACTGCACTGCAGTGGAGCTTCCTTGGGTCTGTCACCACTCTAACCAGCATACTCCTAATGGGCACATACTGTGTTCCCTTCATCCCTATACATCTCCTCACTATCTAGTTCATCACCTCATGTAATGAGTAATTCCTGGTTTGAAAGAGGGCTTCTGGCCCCTTGACTCTCTGTAGCACTAAAGACAGAAGTGGTATTGTCAACACCTCCCTTGACTTCCTCAATAGACTTAGAATCATTCTAGAAGCTTTGAGGGCTTCCCTCCCTGAAAGACCAATCTATGGCTTCTTCTTCCATAATGAAGTGGCTTCAGAGAAAAGGCAGAATCACACTGGAGAAGTTGGAATACATTCTATAGGTGAATCAGGCCTATGAGAACCTCATTTACTACACATACTCCTGGGTCATAGTCTACATTTTGGGGGAAAGGGCTCTTATGGGTTGTCATTCCTCTGCAAAAACACTGATGGGCCAGACTCTGTACCAGTCCTCCTTTCTGTACCAGGTCATGCCCTTTTCTGTTTGAGCATCATTGCAGGGTACTAGGCATTGGGAGGATGGTTGCTTTATCTTCTTCTCCCGTGGCCCAGTAGCTATATGGCTTCAAGTTGCTGCATTCCTGAAGGAAGAATAGAGTGAATGGGCAGCACCTTGTCCCAAAGTTCTCATGTGAGCCCACTTATCATCCTGTCGCCAACATGTGCAGCCTGTATTGTATCAGTTCATCCCAAGTACAGTCTTTCCTTTCAGTGTATTCAGGGCACTTAGGAAGCCACATCTGTGATCCACATATTCATCTTTCACATTTTATAAATAAGAAAACTGAAGCGCAGAGAAGAGAGGAAATTTTCAAGCACAGAGATGGATCAGGGACAAAGCTGGGACAGGAGCATAGGTTTCCTGATTCCAAGTCCAGAATTCTGACTCCATCCAATGCTGTGAACTCTTCAAAACCCTTTCCACAGGTTCTGGGCTTCAGACTCTAGCTTCAAGCATCAGGAGCATATACCAGTCTTGTGAATCTTAGGTGTACTCATCCATGGCTAACCAGACCCTGAATCTTCCTGAGTCAGGATGTGTTTTTTTCCCTAACATCTCTGTGCATTTGTGTCAAGGGAGAGGGTTGCTATGAAGAAAATCAATGGCTTCAGCTGCTTCTACCCACTAGCCCCAACTCCTGACCTTTGTCAGGAAAGGGGCCACAGTCTGATCATTTCTTGTTCCTGCAGGAATGGAGGAGATAGCTGGAGAAGATCTAAGCCCACACACCTCTGCCTCTGTCCATGCCACTTAGGGAAATTGAGTCATTATTAGGTTGATTTTTCTAAAAAAAAAAAAAAAAAAAAAAAGAATCTCTAGGGTCTGGCTGGGATGTATCCTATTCAGAGCCAAGATAAGTTTTAAACAGTATAGTCATTATCAAAGAGAAAAAAGGGTAAGAGTAGGTACAAGAGGGTATGGAGGGGATAAATGGTGGTGAACAGAGACTTCTTGAGTGGTGAACACACAATACAATGTACAGGTGATGTATTATAGAATTGTACACCTGAAACCCATATAATTTTAAAAAGCAATGTCACCAAAAAAAATTCAATAAAAAAAGAAAAAAGCTTTAAAGAATTCTTGGTATATGTAAAAATTTCCACTGTTTAAGCAACTGAGTAAACCTCCTCTAAACTTGGAACATTATCCAGGGGCTTCATTTTGTAGGGGAGAGAGCACTGGTCCAAAAGGCAAGGAATCTGGGTTTTACTCCTAGTTTTGCCAGCAGACCAGCAGGAAGAACTTGAGCTCTCTCATTTGTTCTGAGCCGTATTTCTCTAGACACTCAAATGGAGATTTTGAACCGGAAGAATTAACTCTGAAGTTCTACTCACACCAACCAGCTGAGATTTGATGGTTCTTATACTTACAAAGGGCTTAGTTAATTTTTTCCCAGAGATAATGGAGAGGAATCCAGCAATGGCAAACTGTTCAGAAAAGAGAGAAATAATCAATTCATTTCTTTTGTGGAAATGTGTCAATCACTCAATCAATAAGTATCGTAAAACTTTTAGAAAGATAACGCTGTAGGAATGGTATAGATCCATACCAAGAGACCTGATTTCTGCCCTCAGGATGTTTACATTGACTTTAAAGAATCAACAGATGCCCAAGGGAATGCATTCATGTTAGTGAAAATAGTTGCAAGCTGGGGAAGCCTGGAGAGGAGGTGTGCATGATGTGAGGAGAGTGTTATTACAAGATTGATTATTAACCCAGGCCTAGTGTATCATCTAGAAATCTCCCTACAATAGAGGTCAAAGGATGTCTATGTGTTGCAACAGGCCACACTTGTCTAGAAGCTGTATCTGCAAAGCACTTGATGTGAGATAGAAACATCTGGAAACTCCTCACTTACAATCAACTGTAACAGATAGGGATCTTTTAAATAGGTAGGGATCTTTTTTAAATTATTCATGTTTATTGTTAGGGCTATATTTTGTCATCACAGAATCTGACTGTAAATACAGTTTATGCATATGGCTTTTCTTCCCTGAATTTAATTGTAAATAGAGTTTTGTTTTCTTTTTTTTTTTTTTTTTTCACTAAACATCATCTAAGCCTTTTCTCACTGAATCATTATTCTTGTCTTTCATGGTTAGTAACAGCTCACCATCTAAAGTAATTCCATAAAAAACATCATTGTACATTTAAAATTTTTTTACAAGATTGAAAGAAAGGAAGTTGAGAAAGACTGGTGACTTGAAGGGATAGAAGATGGGAGCAGCCAAAAGAAACACTTGGTGGGGCAAGGTACAGAAACAAATGGGCTTCAAGCCAGGGGTGTAGGTGGCCTGAGTCAGACTGGGAGTGGAGGAAGGTGGGAAGTACAGGGTCATATGTGAATAGTCTTTCATCATAAAGCCCTGGAAGTCAATATTTGATCTGCTGGTGTTAGGGATTCAGCTGGAGTTAGAAAGATATTCTGAGAAGCTACAGTGTTGGTTAAGCTGTGATTTAGGGATTTGGTTGTCACAAATAAGGCCCACCAGGAGTTAATTCTGATATATATGACACAACCACTGGCTAAATAGAAAAGTCAAAGACAAATTATGCTTTGGGTGTAGGAGTAGCTCCTTTTTGTGTCCACATAAGGACTGTATCCATACAGAGCTGATGCCTTGGTAAGATTCATCTGCCCAGAATGTATGCCTTTTTCTCCTTTGTGGAGGATACCACAAAGAAACAAGTATAGGGGGAGATATGATTAGGCCCTGGCTAGTGTCCAAATAAAGAAATCCACTGGGGCCTTATTTGTGAGCCATTAAATGGAAGGCAGCAAAAAATCTTTCCAAGCACTGATTGCCTCTGAAAACAAAGCAAGAGTATCCCTGCTTCCCATGAATTTTACCATTGTTGGTCTAATCCTCTGCAAACCTGTGGCATCTACCAGGGGTGCTCATTTTATTTTAAAAATGACCTTTTCACTCTCTACCTGACAGGTGAATTATTCTTAAACTGGAGAGAATCCAATGGCCTCATTCAAGGCCCCAAAAAAAGTGTGAAAAAATCTTCCACTTTTCCAGAGGCACTGTGTAAGGCCAGGTAAGAGATGCTGGTATGCCCATTGCATTACCCTCTTACCTTCTGTCCCATCCATTCACCCCATGGGATGCTCACTCAGGATATCAGATTAAGCCCCTCTCTGCTCTTCTTGAATTGCAGAGACATGATGAGGGATAATAACAGAGGGAAAGTTGAAGACCTTTGCTTTTTCCCTCTCTCTCCCCTCCTCTTGGGACTGAGATACTCCATGACTTAGCACCCTGTCAGCATTTATGAAGTGTATCCCCTCTTGAAGATCCCACTCTACTCACACACAGAGCTCCTAAAAATGGGTACCCAGACATCAACACGATGGAAACTGCTGGCTTGAGGTGGGAGGAGTAGGGAGAAGAAACCAAAATGGCCCCCAAACTTAAAATCAGCAGGCAACACAGGATCTGGATACTCTACAAGAGACAAGAAGGAAAATTCTGGAATGCACTTTAAATAGATAAAAGTGGCTTTTGCATGTACATCGTGAATTATAAAAAGTCTTAAAATGTTATAATTTGTCATACTAAAAAGGAAAAAAATGTGTTACAAAAAGTCAATAGACAATCTCTAAGAGGAATTCGTAACAATTTTTATTTTCTGATAGTATTATTAAACTAGCAAATCAGGGCATGATTATATGGACATTTTAACTTTATTTTGAGAAAATTAGTTGACAAATTTTTTATGGTTCTAGGAGAAGTAGTTAGAGAAAATTTTTTTCTGGACAACAGTCCAGTTAGATGGATATAGAAAGCAAACTTACCAAGGGGGTGTTCATAAAGGGCTTGATGTCAATGGAAATAGAATAGAGCAGGAATTCATCTCATCTTTGTCATTATTGGATTTTAATAATAATTACTATTTTTATGACAGCCGTGATGATAACACATTCTACTTCTAGCTACTCATCTCATCTTATTCACAGATAAGAAAAATGAGGCACTGGGAGTTAAAATAACTTGTACAAACCCACATAAATGGCTGAGTGGAAGAACCAGGATTTAGACCCTGTTAGTTTCATCTAGAGCTCACACTCTTACTCACTGTTTAATGAATATGCAGTTGAATGATGATGCAAATATAGGAGAAATAACCTAAAGTCAAGAGAATTCAACCATTCCTACAATTAATTTATTAAATATTTATTGTATGCCAAGCATCAGGGGAATAAAGTAAATATAAATCCCTGCCACTCGACAGGTATTATGTTCTTTACAATGACTTCCTTAGAAAATAGCATGAGTTAAGAGCAAAATAGTAGGAAATGAGATATGAGAAGTACTTTGGGCATGATACAAACTATGTAGGGGTTTTGTGGGCTATTTTACCAACTCTGTCTTTCATTTCTAGTAAAAAAGGAAGCCCATGGGATAATTTTGAGCAAAATGATTACATGATCTGATTTCTATTTTCAAAAGATTATTCCACATGCTCTGCTAAATGTTGTAAGGAAACAGAGCAAGGAGATCACCAAAAAGGAGAATACTGCAATAAGTCACATGTGAGATGGTCTTGACATAAAAGAAAATTTGATAGTACAAATCATGAAAAGTAGTTGGACTCTAGATGTACCATAAAGATTAAACCTATAGGATTTGCTGAAAGTTTGAACGTAGGTTATGAAAGAGAAGAATGAAGCCCTGGCTGGTGTAGCTCAGTGGATTGAGCACAGGCCTGTGAACCAAAAGATCGTGGTTCAATTCCCAGTCAGGGCACATGCCTGGGTTTCAGGCCAGTTCCCAGCAGGGGTCGAATGAGAAGCAACCATACATTGATATTTCTCTCCCTCTCTCCTTCCTTTCCCTTCCCTTCTAAAGATAAATAAATAAAATCTAAAATAAATAAATAAATTTTTAAAAAGAAGAATGAAGGTTGCCTCCAAGCATTTTGACTTGAGCATCTGAAATGATAGAAATGACAATTGGTATGAGATGGGAAATATTGTATAAGGAGCAGGTTTGAGGAAAAGGATCAGGATTTCAGTCCTGTGCAGGTTAAAAGAGAGATGTCTAGTAGATATCCAAGCAGAGAGGTACATAGGCTTTTGGACATATGAGTCTTAAGTTTGAAGGAGAGATCCAGGCAAAGGACACAGCTTTTTTTTCTAAGTCGTAAGTATAGGTAATATTTGAAGTCATATTACTAGATGAGGTCAGCATTGCAGCAGATTTTTTTATTTTTAAATTACTGTATTGTTGTTCAATTACATTTGTCTGTATTTCCCCACCACTACTCCCCATCACCACAGCCAAACGCACCTCCATCCCTTGCTTCCACCCTCCCCCTTGGTTTTATCTATGCCCTTTATAGTAGTTCCTGAAAACCCTTCCCCCCACTTTTGAGGATATCAATGGAGAAAGTATGAATTTAAAAGTATTTGCTTTGCTTTTCTTTTTCAAGATAGTAAAAGTTGCAGTAATATTCTGTGCTTATGGAATTAATTTAAATTTTTGCAGAGACAATGGGGAGAATTACTGGAACAAGTGATAAAAGATACTGTATGAAGAAGGGAGGGTTATCATTAACTAGATGGACATTTTGTTCTTAGTAATTGGGGTTGGGGAAAAGAATATATGGATATAGGTATGAGAAATTGTAGGTGTGTAACAGTTTGTGGACATTCTATCCAGATTGCCTCAACATTTTTAGTATAATAGGAAACAAGTTAATAAATGGGGATGGAAGAAACATAAGAGGTTTGAGGAATAAGAATGTATGAAATAGTTTTCTGGAATAATAGGAAAATGAATAGATGAAAGAAATATATATTTTAGGTACCTTTTTTTAGTCCATTTGAGGTTATGGTCACAAATTAGAAGGCTGATTTGTGGTTATGGACACAAATCAAAAGGGTGTGTGCATATGTGTGTGACTAAGATTAGTTGCATAGATTTGGATATGGAGTAGGAAAATGAGCAGAATTAGAATTAAATCAATGTCACAGTTTTTTGTGAAAACGATGCTTTCTAGAGATGAGGCTGTTGAGAGCTTCCATAAGAGAGAGTGGACTATAAAATTTTGGCTAGGTGAAGGAAATGATAATATAAGAAAGTAAGACTGAAAAAAGAGATATTCTCAATAAGTCTCAGTGAGAGCAAAGAAAGTTCAAGTCACTGTACAGTAAGAGGGAGTGACCTGGAAAGATTAGAGCTAGTGGTTGGAGTATAGGATGCAGGAAATGTAGATATTGATGGGTTTACTGCTGTTAGTATTGATAAGGTCCAGGGTAAAACTCAGGGAATGTTTGTCTAAGGAAGTATGAATAAAATACTGGGAAGAAGAGGTCAAGGAACAAAGAGCACATGATACTGGAAGAATCATAAGCATAAATATTGAAATAGTCAAGTCTAATAATAGAAACTTCACTTCAGGGAGTGACAGTGATTGAGGAGCTAATTTCATGAAGGGAAAAGAGGTAAATTACCTGGGAGAGTGAAAGAAGTGGGAATGCACTGAAATTTGTCATTATCTTTTAAACACTATGAGTATGTCCCTTTTCCCCTTTCAGCTGTATTGTTCCCTGCTTATTCTAAGTGTGTAAAATAGTGTATTGAAGGTGCTCAATTAATGGTAGATGAATAAATAAACATATTTACAATATTCCTTATTGATTGCAGAGGCAAATGAAATAGGTTTGTTATTCTAGGCTATGTGAAGGCTAGGTTGTAGGGTGCACCAGCTGAAGGAACAGGGCTTTCTTTTGAGGGAAAAAGGCAAGTCAGCATGGCGTCAGTCAGTTAAAAGAAGTTAATGAAGGAGTTAACACTGGTAAATAACAGTAGAATAACAAATGTTGACTGGTTTTAGTTTCAAGCAACTTATTCATCAAATGATTTTTCTAAGGATGATCGCTTTTCAATTTGCCAATACATCATCTGATGTTCTGATTATTTTTATGTTTTTAAAGTAAAAAATCTTCTAGAATTTTAATACTTCTATAAATTCTCAATTATTTCTAGTTAAAATTACCTTTAGAAAAACCCTCTTGAAGTTAATGACTGACTATAATTACTTGAAATAATTGTTCTTTTCCAGTGTTCAAAATATAAATAACATTTTTTTATTTTTATTTTAATTGTTGTTTAAATACAGTTTTCTGTCTTTTACTCCCATCCTAGACCACATCCCCAGTGCTCCCCACCTCCCTCCCATTTCCACCCCCTTAGTTTTTGTTTATGTGTCCTCTATACTTGTTCCTGTAAATCCTTCCCCTTTTCTTCTGAAATTCCCTCCCCTCTCCCCTCTGGTCACTGTCAGCTGTTCTCTATTTCAGTGTCCTGGCCGAGTGAAATAAGCCAGGTGGTGAAAGACAAATACCATATGATCTCACCTTTAACATGAACCTAAAAAACAAAACAAACAAGCAAGCAAAATATAAATAACATTAAAAAATATCATTTTTGGTAGAATACTGACTTCGGATTTTTCAAATAATAAGTAAAAAAGAACAATTAAATTCTTTTTTCAGGTGGGAGTGAGTTATCTAGTAAGATGACAGGAGATTCTAAAGCAGAAGTAGAGATGAGAGGGAAAGCTTGATCTAGAAGTGTCTAGGAGAAGCCAAGAAAACACTGACGTCACTTCTGTGCCTAGAAGTAAAGGTTGCAGTGGAAACAGTTCCTTCAGGGCTAGATTTCTCTTTGCACTATAGATGAAGAGGCCTTTGAGAAAAATAAAAAACTATGGCATAAAGAGGATTATCCTGTTAACTGACCTTGAATTCTAGAGGGGGCGATTGGGCAGGTTTCTAAAGCTGGGCATAAGTAGGATTTTGGTCTTAAAATAGGATATTCAGAACCGTGAAGGAATTAAAGTCCTGAATCTGAAGGGAGACGATCACCTTGAACACTGGGGTGTATTATAGTGACTCATGTGAACAGGGAGAAAGTGCTTCTCCCATGGTGAGATTAGTCCAGGTCGTGTGGCCTCAAAATGTTTAAGAAATGAGCTTAAAGTAAGATCTATTCCAATCATGTTGAGTAAAATCATGTGGTTACATCAATTTCTCTACTGTAATTAAGGACAATTTACAAGAGACTTTACAAGAGATTTCAGGTGGAAAAGACCCAGTGGTTTTGTTAGTTCGCAGAAAGGCCGAGGGAGGACACAGTTTTCCCATAAAGCCCCCATTCCATGCCTCTATGAGCCTGGAGTCAGACAGAAAAAAGTGAGAAACTCTCCCAGATCTATTGTAGATCTGTAGTTGGGATACATTCACAATAGTTCCCCCAGGGTTCTCGTTATAATGAGGTGGACTTACCCCAAGAACTGTGGTTTCTTTTTGGAGATCATTGTCCAGTTTATCTTCTTCTGGGGAGATAATGGTGTCCTTTGGAGTGAAGGAGTCAAAGGCTTCCTTGGCCTTGGGCTGAGTTAACATGATGCTGATGCTGCTGAAAGAGGCAATGAACTCGGTTAGGACCCAAGGTTAGACTTAATGCTATAAAAGTCCCAGGGAGCAGACTTTGCAGGCACTTAAGATTGTGCTCCATTGTCCAAGGGATAACCTGTCCTTAGGCAGACAGAACTTGCTTGGCAGCCTTGAATCCACTTCATTTGCCTTCCAATAATCTCTACTTCCAAATTCTCTTCCTCTTGTACCTCTACTTCACCTGTGGCACATTCTCACACAACATCTCCCTGTATTCTACCTTTATGCTACACCTATACTGCCTGTTCAGGCTTCCATCATTCTCTTGAATTTTCTTTCCATTAAGATGTTGATTAATCCTTTTCCATATCCTTTTTCAGTACCACCTGAAATGACCCCCCCAATGATACTAGCTTAAAATTTGTTAATATAAACATTTCCTTAACTCCTGATGAACTTTAGGCACTAGGCCATAGCAGTTCTAATTCTTATAACAATTTAGATATTATTAAATCCACTCTATACACTAGAAACTCATGACTAATTAAGTTCAAGTGATTTTCACTAAATAAACTAGTCACACGAAACACTAAGCCTGGCACATAGAAAGTTTTAATGTATGGTAGCAAATATAATTATTAATTAGTCTATATTTGCATAACCAGAAAGTATATGAACCGAGTTGATCTGGCTCTCAAGCTTGTGCTATTTTTTTCATTACCACATTAGTTGTCCTCATCTCCCCATTTCTTCCTTCCTAGCTTTGTCAGTTCCAAATGTAGACTCAAGCAGTAAGTTGTCTGCTGTCTACCAGCTCAGCAGCACTGCTGGGTTTCTGTGGTGTCAGCAGCACAGTTCAGCCACTGGGCTGCTCCCCAGATCTGTTCTCAGCACAACATTCTCCCTCTTGAAGGCCATAGTTTGGATAAAGGCTTATGGTAATCTAATGGTGCCACAGTTCTGTCGCTTGACACATCACCTCAATGGTTCCAGGCTCTCTCGAAGTGTGTAACATCTGAATATTGGAAATGGCATCCACAATCTTGCTGGTAGTGGAAGAGGTGAAAAAGGTCACTGAGCTGGGAGTCATAGCTTCAGCATCCAGCTGCACATCTGAGCATGAGTCTTGAAGTCCAGTCCTATGCTTACATTCTATGCCCTCCAATCATTACTAAAATACCATAGATGAGTTATTTTAGCCACTTCTGTACCTTTGTGGTGAGGGTTACATAAATGAGATGATGCATGTAATGTGTTCAACACAGAGGGATTGATAAACTCTCAATACATATTAGCTATATCTAAAACTCATTGGAATTCCAGCTCTGATACTTACTAGCTGATCACAGGCAGATTATTTCCCCTCATTCATCCTCAGTTTTTTTCTGATAATATAGCATCGCAAAGGATTCTTGTGAGGACTGGAATAAGGGGATGCACATGAGTGTTCTTTGTCATGCCTCTGAAGTCTTGATCAGGTGCTCCATAATACTCAGTGAGAGGTCAGTGACCTCTAACCCCATTTCTATTCCTGTCTCTATGCCTTGGTCAAGTTTCTCATGCTCTCACAGCATCAAGTACTTTAATCAAAGACTTATCAAAATAAAGGTTTCACTATGAAAATAGTGATCATTTTGGGGGATTTTGGAATCCGGGCAGAAGTTTGGGTGAAATTACATGAACAAGGAGAAGAACAGTGTTGACACCAAATCCTCACAATAGCGCTGGAGAGAGGATGCCATTGATGGTCCAGGCCTCTTTTGGCACATCTTTAAAGCCAGAGAAGTAAACAAATAATCAGATTTGGAGAAATTCTGAATTTCAAAACCAAATACATTTTTGCTAAAATGGGAATAATTACTAACAATATTAAGCAACTACTATGAGTCTGGCACTCTGTTAAGAACTTTGTGTGGGTTTTTATTTAATCTACCCAATGACTCTCTGACATAGTTACTGTTTTCCCTTGAGTTCTGCAGATTAAAATGAGGTTTAGAAACGCAAACAGTTTTCAAAAGACTTAGCAGGTAGTGAAGGCAAGACTTCATTCAACCCAGGTAGTCTGATGCCAGAGCTCTTCTATATGCTGTAGGTTCAGGCCTACCCATCCACTTACATATAATCCTCAGCCCCTGTATCCTTTCCTTCCTCCCTTATAGCTATAGTCCACCGGTTGCCACTCACCAGCTCCATCATACACTGTAACATTCCTGACCTTAGCGAATATGGGTTGATGGTCTCTAACTCCAGAATTGTTCCTGTATTCTGGCAACTTGGCTTCTGCCTCACTCTTGTGGTTTAATGCCCCAAATATGCCATGTAGACCCCTTCTTCTTTCTAGCCTTAATAACCAGTCTTTCAAGGTGTGTCTATCTTGTCACATATTGCAAGATTTCCTTCTTTCAAGGTTAACCTTGAGGACAATGCTGTAAGTGTGATAAAACAGTCACAGAAAGACAAATATTGCGTGATTTAACTTATATAAGGTGTGGGAGATAGTCAAACTCACAGAAGCAAAGACTAGGATGGTGGTTGCCAGGACCTAGGGGAGGAGGAAATGGGGATTTGCTGTGCAACATGTATAAAATTTCAATTATTCAAGATAAATTCTAGAGATGTGCTGTACAATATTGTCCCTATAGATAGCAATACTGTATAATACATTTAAGAAGCTGTCAAGAGGGTAAGTCTTATGTTAAGTACTTTTACTATAATAAAAAGTAAAGAAATAAGGTTGGGAAGACAGAGAACTAAAGACCGACCCCAACTTAAGGATTTTTTTAAAGTCTCTGTCCTTCTGTAACCCTTTTTGCGTTTGTCAGTCCTCATACTCAAGGACTACAGCATGTGCCTGATTCTAAGCCTGAAGCCAGGACCTGCAAGCCCAGTTGGTAGCCTCTAGCTCACTGCACCATTGGGTACCATGCACACTCATTTGTTTAATTAGTTCTGTTGGTTTTGTTTAAAAGAGTGCATAACACAGCAAATACAATAGAAAAGGAAATGAGGTTTGAAGAAGAAAATAAAAAATTCCTTAAATCTTAACTACCACGCAATGACTATTTCATGCATGTCCTTTACATTCTTTTTCCCCTTTCTTGTTTTTCCTCCTCTCTATGTATGTTCATATACATTCATAATTCTACATAGAATAATTTTTCACATTATTTATCAACCTTTTTGCACTCAACATTATTCTGTGGGTATTGTTGATACTAATACATAGAGATGATAACAATTCTAAATGTAAAAGCCAAGCAGAAAATTCTGACATGTGCATGGATGAACCTTGAATACAATGTGCTAACTGAAATAAGCCAGTCATGGAAGGATGAATACATGATTATACTTCTGTGAGGCAGCCACAGTACTTAAATCCATAGACATATAAAACTGAAAGCAACAAATGAACGAACAAGAAAACAAACAAAAACTCATAGACACAGACAACAGTATGGTGGTTACCAGAGGGAAGTGGAGTTAAGGCGTAGTCAAGGGTAAAGTGGGTCAAGTATGTGGTGACAGAAGATTTGACTTTGGGTGGTAGGCACACAATGTAATAAACAGATGATGTAGCCTAGAATTGTATGCTTGAAACCTATATAATCTTATTAACCAATGTCATCCCAGTAAATTTAATTTTTTTAATGTAGACTGATGGTTGCAGGTGCTGGGAGGAGAGGGGAACATGGAGTTACTGTTTCACAGGCATGGCATTTCAGTTTGGAAAGCTGACAGTGTTTTGGAGTTCAGTTGTAAGGGTGGCTTCAGAAGAAATCTCCACACTGATGCCATCATCTCCAAACTCCGCAGGCTGAGGAGGATCTTTGGCCTTTCATGTTCACCACGTGGAGACAAACTTGATGGTGGCCCCCAACTTTTCAAGACAGTTCTAAAATCCCCTCCTGGGAGACAAATCGTAGCTTGCAGGACAACTTCTTTGCACACAGCAATTTTCTCTGTTACAGAATTAGAGTGGAACAACAGGGTCCTAACACAGGATTTACAGTAATCTAACTGCAGTTTTTCTTGAGAGTGTGTTTTGTGTGAGACTGAGCAACACATCAGGAAATCCAGAAAATCAGAGAAAATCACCACCTCAAAGTGTGAAGGAAACCTAACCAATGGTCTCACCTGGTTCTTTTATTTGGAAAGTGAGTAAACCGAGACCCAAAGGGGAAACTGACTCACCAGTCCATGCAATAGGTCAGCAGCACAGACAAGGTCAGAATATAATTCCTGGCTGTCTGTTAAAAAACCAGCAGTCACCCCCAAAATGTATGATCAAACCAGCGTCCTACCTTTCCTGCAGCCCCGTTCTGTGTGTAATGGCTGGTGGGCCAGCTCACCTCTGGGGAGCTCTCAGCCAGAACTTCCTCCTGGCTGCTCCTGCCAGAAGGATCTTGCCGCTTTGCTCTCCAGCCTCTGAGACTTCCTGCCCCTTTCTCAAAGTAATATTTATGATTACACAAGAGTCTCGCTGTAGTTATACATAGTCTATATATTAAAATACCTCTGCTTCCTTTTTCTCAATTTCAAGGTCTGGAAAGTGATACAAATGATAAGTAACATGAGAGAAAAAGAGCTTGTGAGGACTAGCAAGTTGCATGGCTCCATTTAGAATTCATTTCCCACCTTCCTATTAGTGATTCAACTAGTTCCTTTTAGCCTGAATTTTCTTACCTGCTAGATGGGGATGGATAATAAGAATTCCACTGTATGGCTGTTAAGGGAATTAAAAAGAAAGGATGTAAAGCGCTAATGAAAAGTAGGCACTCAATAACCAGTGATAATAGTGATGTTAATTTTGAATTTGGAAGAATTTATTTTCCCATTTCCCGAGCTCTTGACAAAATGAGAACAGCCTAACTGGAGCTGCCTTTTGACCCAGGGATCCCATTTCTGCGTGTATATCCAAAGAAACCCAAAACACTAATGCAGAATAATGCATGCACCCTTAAGTTCAAGGCAGCAATATTTACAATAGCCAAGATCTGGAAGTAGCCCAAGTGCCCATCAGTAGATGAGTGGATACGAATGTGTTTGCACATGTATACAATGGATTACTACTCGATCATGCTGTCCTTTATGCGAAAGTGTTTTACTGCTTATACTCTGAAAGTAAGAATAAAGATTCTAGGGAATCTATGCATGAATTAAGTAGATGTGATTTACTTGTTAATAGAACACCTCCTTTTGAAAAATTAGCAATTAACACATTCAGAGCTCATTATGCAGTTATAAAAATAAAGATTTTTTCTTTTTAAAAATTTTTATTTAATTATTGTTCAAGTACAGTTGTTGGGTTTTTAAAGCTCATAGAAGGTAAAATCTTATCAGTTCTATCCTCTATATTCTCAATATTCTTGAAAATATTAATTTTAACAATATGTATATTTGAATACCTTAATATTTAATATTGTTGGATGACAACATTATTTAGAACATTGCTGTTTACTTTTAAAATATAAGACACACTTTATCAAACATTTGGCGATGGTTTTTCTCTAGATTGCTTTCCCCTCCCATTTCCCTGCTATGAGGAACAAAATTGTTGACTATAAGCAGAAAAACTGAAGGGTGGCTATTATCGATCTTTGTATCTATGAACTTTAAATTATTTTTAAATGGTTGTATTAATAAAGATTTTTAATTATTTTCTTCTGCTTAATGTTAGTACACTCTGAGAGTAGTCCACTATTCACATAATTTGTGGTACTTGTCTGAATGTGAGCCCATTTTTATTAAGGCTTCAGTTATTATGACCCAATTTAGT